AAAAAATAAAGAATAAAAAAGTATTTTATAATACATAGTACAAAACTGTTTGACAATTAGGCGAGGCGAGTCTCAAAGGGCACCTTGTCGCCTTGACAATTATGATCCGAATCCGCCTCTTAATGGATTGGTATCGGATTCGAATCCGATCTGATCAACTTATTTGCAGCCCTAATTGGAGGTTTAGATCTTTTACCCACAAAAACCCTACCCACACCTGACTACAGCTGTACATATATCAGAAACATCTCCTATACCGTTGTAGTGTCATGTGGGTAGGATTCTTGTGGCTGATGCTTGAGTCTGGATCATGGTATAAAGAAACATCTAGGCAGCTAAAAAGGTGGTGTTTGCCTCTATTATTTATGTAATAGGCTCTCTTGGGAAACGATTTGCTCAAGGATGCCAACAAGGTCGCATGGTGCCATGGTGGAATAGCTGAAAAGTAACTTTATATACTTGGATGTGATGTAAATCAAGAACCAATGTTATTAATGTAAAACTTTACATTTTTCCACCCATTACTATTTTCAAAAAAACAATGGTCACTTTCTGGTTCATTGTAAAACATACACTGATTCCAAACACAGCCTAGACTTAGTTTGGAAAGAGTACAAATACAAATGTGTAGTGCAAAACCTTGTATTTTTTATTATTTTATATGTAATTGCACAATATATATTTGTATTTGTACTCTTTGATATGTAGTGCATTTTGCAAGATTTTGTATTGTTTTATATGTAGTGCATAATATGTATTTGCACTTTAAATGTGGTTGACTTTCTTGGAAATGATGCAAATGGAGTGTAAATGCTAGTTCAGAGTAAATATGCACTGTAGTTCACTTTTGCATGTGTTTGGCAACATTACATTTATGCATTGACAAATGATAGAAAACATATTTTCTAATGCATATTTACATTGATAATAAGATGTAAATTTGCATTCAAGTGGGCTTTTGATAAAAAAAAGACATGCTTTATTGTAATTCGTGTTTGTATCCATTACGGCTAAAAGTCGATTTGGTAAGAAGGTAAATCTGTCTGTACAAAACTAACCCAACTTTGCAATTTATATGGACCATTTTACACTACATATTTATATTCACACTTATTTGCATCATTTCCAAATGCAGCCTTAATTACTATAAAAACTGCTAATATGAAAATTTCAACTCCCGTAGTTTACTATGATCCCCAAGCACTTTGCATATTATTAAAGCATGTATTTTTTATGTGCACATAACTTATTTGAGTTTTCCTGGCATATATGATATATGAGTATCAATGTGTATCCAAAGCATATTATGGTACATTTCTTAAAATTAACTATCCAATACTCTTACTCTTTGTATTCTAGATACTTTGAACCTTGGTTATAAAGAACAAGGGTTCGACTATGATATGAAAAAAATATGATATCTGAAAATTTTCTGACCAATCAATTGGACTCATAAATGTGATAGCCAATCAGGTGTTATTTATGAAAATTCATAGATGGGTTTTAATTGGTAAAAACTCTTCCCATACCATATCTTTTCCACATCATAGATTTTCCCAAATAACAAAGGGAACAAAATGGGAAGTATTGAGGCAGAATAAGATAGGTAATGGAGATTCATTTGATGTATAGTTGAAATTTTCACCCACTTTAGCAGAGATTAAAAGTTAAAAACATAGAAACAAATGACTGGGACTTCTACACATATAAATCTCCTCACTGCATAAGACTGATGTATTTGGAAATCAGGTGATCGAAGGCTTAAGCCTATTAGTTAGTTTAAATTAGGCTTTGCACTGGGCACCCACTAGTATCTCCTTGGGCGAATATTCTAACGGGCCAATGATCTTTATTTACCAATAGCTTTGCAATTTCGATTTCTTTAGGCCAAGATTTTCTCTTAATGGGCCCACCACTCCCACTTGATGCACTTTCATATTGCGCCAATACAATATTGACCTCATTGTCCATAGCCTTTCTTAATTCCAAATTATCCCCTGCCCAAGACATTTCCTTGGGCCAATATTTTATTCTTAGTGGATCTTACATGTCCAAACATTATATATATATATATATATTAATTTTAATTTTTATGTATTGATGAGGGCAGATTTGGCCCTTCAGTGAAATTGTGACACCTTGTCACGGGGGTACTCGTTGGGGCCCCGTGCGGCACTCGAAATGGGCGAGTAAGCCTACGAAACAAAGCAAACACACACACAAAGGCAACAAGAAGGCACACGAATTAGCAAAAGGCTACTTGTATTGCATTAATCAGTGGTAAGCACAAGCACACAGTACAGTGTCGAGAGGATCTCGTGCTTAACCTTTACACGCTTATGAGCTCACTCGACTACCTACCTCCCCTCAAAGAGTACGTTAAGCTTTTGGGGGAGTGACAATAAGAAACGTCAAAAAGATGAAAAAGCATACTACAATATTACAATATTGCCATTGGCAGTCCCCCATACAAAAGTACATGTTTAGCCCACCCATGGCACACACTTGGATGCTGGAGTTGCGGCTGAAGGCACAGTGGATGGCACTTGATGGCGCGACGAAGAGAACCCTTGTTACAACCTGGCACCTCAAGCCAACCAAGTGCAACCTCTTGACAACTGGGCAACTCAGCAGAGCTTGCCATAGGCAGCTTGCCACTTACAGACAGCTCAGCATAGCTTGCCACAGGCAGCTTGCCACTTACAGACAGTTCGGCATAGCTCGCCATAGGCAGCTCAGCATAGCTCACCACAAGCAGTTCGGTAGAGCTCACCACAAGCAGTTCGGCAGAGCTCGCCACAAGCAGCTCGGCATAGCTCAGCATAGCTCTCCCCCAGGCAGCTCGCCACTTGCAGGGTAGTTCGGTACAGGGTAGCTCGCGGAAGAGCAGTTCGGCATATCGCAGGAAGATCTCCCGCCTGACAACCATACCTGACAGGTCCAGAGACATGCGCCCACGTCTCTCGCCAGGCGGCACCGTGCCTGCCAGCCCTGAGAGCTGTTCCTTGCTTGGCAGAGCCGTACTCTGCAACAGCTGCCTACACCCGCCACCTCAGCTCTAACAGTAACGGCTGTGGCAGAGAGACAGAGGCGGTTATGCCTGACTTGACAGAGGCGGTTACGCCTGATTTGACAGGACACCGCTATATATGGAGGTAATCCCTGCTCTCTAGCTCTCTCATTTCTCTAATATCATCTTCAAGCTCTCTACTATCAGAGTGCTAACTTAAGCATCGGAGAGTCTCCGCCAGGTAAATACCCTCGGGTCCTCTGATTTAGTTCTCGCAAGTTCCTCAGCTCCCGCCGCCTACAAAGAGGAGGAAAAGATGGAGTTCTCGCAGGTCCCTCAGCTCCCGCCACCTATAAATGAGAGAAGATCACCTCATGTAAAGGGCAGTTGGGTTGCGCTACACCAGGGAGCTCCACCATCCTCTGAGTCACAGGCAACCTAGGAGCAGGTCAAATGACGAGCCCACCAAGGTAGCTCACCACCTAGGAGCTCAGCATAGCTCTCCCCCAGGCAGTTCACCACCAGGGAGCTCGGCATAGCTCTCCCCCAGGCAGTTCGCCACCAGGGAGCTCGACATAGCTCTCCCCCAGGTAGTTTGCCACTAGGGAGCTCTACCATCCTCTGAGTCACAGGTCACCTGGGAGCAAGTCAAATGACGAGGTACTTAGCCAAAAAAAAAAAAAAAACTTGGTACGTGACCAGAATCGGTTACATCAATTGGTGCAGTTTGTGGGAACACGCTACAAAAATCTAAGTTCTCATCCTACAAAAGCTAAGTTCTCATCCTACAAAAGCTAAGTCATCTTCTCCCAGAAAGCTAAGTCCTCGCTTTTTATAAATTGAAGCTCTCGCTTTATAATTTACATTTTTTATGAGCTCAAAGACTATGCAAGGAGCTAACAGACTAAGTAATTTTACCAACTTTACTTTCAAGTCTCTCTGTGGCTTCCGCGGGAGTTGGCAGCCAACAGACTACATAGGCGCCCTTACTGGTCGAGCCTTCCAAGGCTCCCGTGTGAGCTGGCGACCTAAAGTTAGTAGTGCTGCCCCCGAAGGTCGAGCTCCTAGTAGCTTCTTGTAGGAGTGGGTGATCGGCATTACGAAGCTGATGCAGCGCAATCATAGCTCTAAGGCA